TATATATATATATATACATACATATACACACACACATACACATGCATACATACATTTGAGTGTTTTGTTGAGCTGATATCCGGGATAAATGAACGTATCTCCAGTGAAACGTAAAAGGAGGGGAGACGATGACACTCCAGATGGTGTGATCTTCATGTTTCGCATGAAATATGAGAATATTTTTTCCACTTCAATCGAGACTTATACTTCCCACGTTCAAGTATTCTGTGTGCTAAGGACTGTATCAAATCCGAATCTGTACTGGAGCTACATTGGCGCGTGCTGGTCTGTTTGTCTTATTCCTCTGATCACCCATGTTGTTTTGTTTTCCATTAAAAAAAAAATCTTACGATAGTCTATATATATAAGAGCAGATGACAGGAGACGTCACAGTGCTGTTTGTGTTTTTGCTATTATTCTGAGAGTGACGAAAGTCTCGTCTTTATTTGTGGACTGCTCCCTTTAATAGCCTTTATTCAAACGGTGTGTTGCATGGTTTTACGGGGGAACAAAAGCGTTTTCCACATATTTAATTTAATCCGGTTTCATCCGGTTAGTTAGACAGAGAAGGTTAAATTGACGGCTTTTGCGTAAGAAAATGTTCACTTTGTGTTGCACAGACCAAGACGTACGCATTAGATTTGGTCTAAAATGCACTTGTCACGTAGTATAGATTATGTAAGTGTCTGCGAGGTTCAAATCGCGTGAGTCGTTTTTTGTAAGTAATCCTTATCCGAACACGTTTCTCAACATTTGCTTTCTTGAATAATAAATACGTGTCGTGACATTTTGTTAATAGAGCTGTTTCGGTGGACAGACGGTGTTGTAGAGGCCGCGCCAATTTAAGCTCATTCTGTGTGTTAATAGCTAATGTAACATTTCCCATCTTCTAGAATGTTCCAGTGTATTTGTAAGAAGAGAGAATTCCGTGGGGCAGTGCCGCAAAATGGCAGCGTGGAAGATAGCAATGGTTTAATTTTTCTACATCATGAAATTAATAAACTGTTATGGGAAATAACAGTTTACTCACGCGGGGTTATCATTTCACTTTATGATATATGCGTTGTGTTCAGTTACAACGCACCGTGTTTCATTGCATGATAAAGCAAATGCTTCTTTTTTTCCCCCCAGTACTGTAAATAAACTGATGTTTGAATGAGTTTTTACATAGGTAGAAACGGTCGTATTGCGGCAACTGTAAACTATAAATACTGGTGACTGCAGATAGACCCACGTGAAGCGTGTGTAGGTGATCACTGAAAATGAAACATACATTTGGTGATGATTGCATTATCGTAATTCTTGTATTTATTTTCAAAGCTGAAAAAATCTGTCTGCAGAAACACACAATTGGAACATAATCCAGTGATAGTGGAATAAATTGAGCTATAAATGAGTTTTCACGAACTGTTATGTCACCAGGAGGGACTCACTTTGGAGGTATACATGTGGGTTATTTTATTTGTTTTTTTAATTACACTGAAATTTCAGGAGCATCTGCTGTTTTTTTTTTGTGTTTTTTTTTACAATTTATTTATAGTAATTCTATGCTATAATGGGACCCATCTTTGAAAAATTATGTCATCCAACAAGTTACTTTGGCAAGGGAAGGTGCAGTCCTCAAATAAACTAACAGATCTCACTTATTAGAGATAATGTGCACAGTTGAAATGCTAATTTATCAAGAGTCTGTTGAAGTCAGGAGCGGTGGGCAACTACCAAATTCGTCACATAGAGGACAAAGCATGACAATTATAAACCACAAAGAATATAGGTGAATAGCAGAGACATTTGATCTGAATCATTATTTGCATATACTCTTATCAAAATGCCTGTTAAGTGATTTTCAGTTAGGAACTTTTTCATGTAGTCTTATAAAAGAATATTGACATTAGCTCAATTTATCCCTTTAATAAAGATTAATCCTGATTAATCCTTATTAAAACGCAGTAAGTAAATCCAGGTAATGAGGAATTGACATTTTTTAAATGTAAAATGAGGGATAATTTTGTTGCATTATTACAAAGAGATGACATTTGTGATATATGAATATGACTGATTTTAAACTAAATACAATGACATTAGATTTAAAAAAAACTAAAAAAAACATGATTGTCCAACGCTGCTTTTATTATTTATTTTTATTGCAAAACTTTACATCCATCCATTATCGTTACCGTTTATTTTGTTTTTTTTGGACATTTATGTTTTGGTGGCAATCAAAACTGTGTCTTAACATCCTAAAAGTAGGCTAGAAATCTTTGACTGTGATCTTAGTATAAAAAGAGGATATGACCTAATCAACTTAATCTTGCGGAAATGTCCATGTCTTAGGTTCTTCTGGGTATCACTCACCTTAGGCTGTTTGATGTTTTCAAGAAAACTAACGAATTGCATAACTATCTGGTCACCCAACACAGATTATGACAGAATGCATCCCATAACACCTCTGAAGACCTCCGTAATTCTCTGTCCTCCCTGCCAGAGTACATAAACTAAGTCCGACAACCAGCAGGATCTCTGTTGACATTTGATTTCACTGCAGTCATGAAAGTGTCACTACCTGCAAATCTTTATTCCAGTCCACCAATAGCCACACTATGCTCTTTTTACAAACATGAGTTATCACAAACAGTATTGGGTCACTCAAAGGAAAACACATGTGGGTTCAGTTCAGTTTAGGAGGTAATTACTGACTGAAGTTGTCTGTTTTCTTATTAGATGGGGCATCTGCTTTGTTTTTGCTTAATTGGAGTTACAGAGTTCACTCTGTAATGTGTCACTCATGATATACGAGCGTAGTGATGTTGAAATTTGATAGATTATGTACAAAAAGTCAGATTTGTATTTTTATTACTGCATTGTTTAAATAATATTTGAATGCATTAATTATTCTCATCATTTTTGTTTTCCCTGGGGGACATTGTCTAGAAATTATGGTTAGATTTCTGTTGATTGTCAGCAAATAAAGCCTATAAAGGTGACATACTGACTGTTTTGAACACTTGCTGGCTATAAAAGAGTCATTGATCACCTTAAATGTAAGGGGCAATCATTAACAAGGTTTACGTCTTCAAGTTATCAGTGTGTGGTTATCAACCTTTGTAGAAAGATTTTTTTACTTAAACTCATTCAAATGGAGATTTTCCCTCAAACAAATTTCTGTGGCGTTGATGTAATGTTATGCAAACTGGACTTCAGATCATCTTAAAAAAATATATGCTAATTAGTGTTATTATTAAAGGTTTGTCCAAAAACTAGCTTACTGTGAGACACCAAACTGGTTCAACATGAGGAAACTGATGATTTCAGGGGGAAAAAATGTTTTGATAACCAAACATTTCTAGCAAGGTGGAATTTTTTTTTAAAAAGTTGCCAAAATGAACAGAATGCAACTGAATTCCTTACAGAAAATGGATGAAATAGTTCAAAAGTCGCTGCTCGGCAGAAAGAAACCGACCTAATCCTAAAAACTAAAAAAATACTCTTTGATTAGACCAAACTGACCTAAAATTAATAAATATATAAATACGTGGCTGAAATAAGGATCAGAAAAACAGGAAATCCAGGTGAATTTAGGATTATTCTAAGAAAAAGAGAAACCACTGCCAGATAAAACTAGTTGAACAGCTAAAGGAAACTTAGGAAAGTTAGTGGAGACACGGAAAACAGCAGTAGACACGAAAATAAGAGAAATAGGAGTATAAGGAAATAGGGAACATAAACTTAAGTAGATAACTAAGAGAGGCACGCAAATTAAAACAAAACCATAAAGAAAAATGGGAAACACAGAAAGAAACTAAGGATCTTTGCTAAAACTAGAAGCAAGGAATAATCTAAGAAAATGACTGATGATGACAAGTGTAATGACCTCACACACATGATCTGTCTGTGTGTGTGTGTGTGTGTGTGTGTGTGTGTGTGTGAGTGCATGTGTGTCTGTCCGTCTGTCTGTTAAACCCCAACCCTATTTATACATGTAAGGTCACATTCATTCAGGAGGATATCCTAGTTGTTTGTATATTTTTATTATACGATTGTTTTTTGTATTTTAGGCAGTTTTTATCTACACATATATGTATATACAAAGATATCTAATAATGTAAGGTTATATGAAGACCTTTAAGAGGCATTTTTTAAATACTCTGTATTATTATTAGTATCATAGTTATTATTGATATTCTGTTTATATGATTTTTATTATTATTGTGCACTTTTTCTGCTGGTTAGCACAGGCACTTCGGAACTACTCTGTCACATTAAATTGAATTCCTTCATTTGTAAAACTGGACTCTCCACTCAACAGCTATTTTCCTCTCCCAAACAGTGAGCTCAAGTTGCGGCTTTGGGGCATGGTTTTGGAAGGTAGCTCAGAGGCTCTGTGCCCCCCACCATCATTGGAGTTACGTGCATCTTGCAACAAGAACCAGTCTTCACCTCCTCTCGGCCCAAGCTCACAAACCCACAAAGTAATCTTTCCTGAGGACAAGGAGCCCATCAAATATGGCGAACTCATTCTCTTGGGGTGAGATACTGCAATGCCATATTTAATCTATACCTAACTTGTGTCATAGCGTTTTTTAACTGCTTAAGTATGATCTACATTTGGTGCAAATGTTTAGCGTCGACATCTCACTTTCTTTTGTTTTGTTTTGCTTTCGTCAGCGTATTCATAACCAATAACATACATACATTTTTGAGCCAGTCTATGTAATTTACCGATGTCATTAACTGTGCTAACAGAATAAATGATGTGAGGAATTTCAAAATGTAACTAAATTTAAATAAATTATTAACTCTTGTTATTGTATTGCATTAAACACTATAACATTATATATCAGAAAATATAGGGCAGAATATTCTGTGTATTTAAGTTAATAAAAAAGTTGTATTTGACACATTTCACACATTTTTAAGGCATTGTCACTGTCCCTTGTGTGAAGTTAATATGTATATACATATATATATATACCTAATTTTAGACAACTCTAACATAGGATCAACTCCTACACGCAATTAAGAATCACCAATTAACCTAAAATGCATGTTTCTTGGACTATGGGAGAAAGCTGGAGTATCCAGAGAGAACCCACGCATACACAGGAAGAACATTCAAACTCCACAAACTCCACTCCTGAGGGTTCAAACTGGGAACTTGCTTGCTGTGTACTAACCACCCAACCACTGTGCAACCAACACAGCAGTATAATTTCAATAATTTAAGGTTTAGTTATGTGCTTTCTCACAGATATCTTCTCTGTGGGCAGTTGTATGCAGGGCCACATATGCAGAACATGCTAGGAGTGTCTGCTCAGTTCTCCCAACATGTTCATTAAATTTGGAACAGCATAATAGTTGTGCTGAAATGGCATATGGCATGGTGAAGAGTCATGTGCATTGTTAGACCACTCAATTAGACAATATATGAATACAAATTAAAAGTAAATAATTTTTTGTGTCTTCATAGATATGGGTAACATTAAAATAAGTTTTCTGTGCTCAGAATTATTATTTCTTTTTGCTCAGATTCGGTTATTTCTTGATTTAAAATATGTTTGATCACAACACAGAATTTATGCTTTCAAAATAAAACTGCCTGGGCTCAGGTTGTCCCACTGCTCACTAAGAAATGGGACACAAATGTAATAACATATCACTTTTTGAATCTGTACGGGTTAGGGTTAGTACCAGGAAGTCTGTACCTGGAAGTCCCTAGGGGTCTGAATACTTTCAGCACCTACTGTATGTGTATGTAAATATTAATTTATTTAAAATATTATAGTGAAAAATGTACCATATTTGTCTCTCTTCAATCATCATAAACTCATTGTGCATGGTTATTGCTGTTGGTAGAAATGATTGATGATGATTTTGTATTTTGCTTACTGAACACAAGATGGCAGGCAGTATTGTCTTTCTTGCTTTATAACTTCAAGGGCTCTAGAGAGTTCCCCAGTTCAAAAATAGTTCCTTGTTATCACTTGTTATGGTGATTTGAATAAGATTCAATAAGAAAAAGAATTAAGTAATTTACTTTGACGAGTTAGCTTTTGTTATTGTGTTTTGGAATGCTTTTATTACGAAAATCCAGGCAAAATGTTTTACACGTCATTAATTATATATTTGTGCTTTTCTTAAAAACTTTTCTTTACAGACACAATGGGTCTCTGGCAACTGGAGACAAAGGTCGCAGGAAGAGTAGGTTGGCCCTCTACAAGAGACCTAAAGCCAATGGAGTCAAACCTGATGTCATCCACAATATCTCAACACCATTGGTGTCAAAGGTGTGATCCTCTTTTCATATTTCTTTTTCAATGGAGATGTACAGAGAATCTTCTATTGAAATTAAGTTTTAAAATGTTAATTATAAGGACACATTCTCTAATTCAGTAAAGCTAGTATGTAAATTATTGGGACAAAACAGCTTTCTGAGATTTTCGGATGGAATATAATTATGTTTTAACTCCACTTATCACAAAGGAGACAAATAATACCAAATTCAAAATATCATAATCTTCCTGAAATGGTTTTGTTTTTAATATGGTTTAATAGTTTCTATTCTTTTTTTAATGGAGATCCAGTGCTTTAGTTTTATAGTATTTTACAGTATCTTAGCTGGAACTGTGCTCTTCTGGATACCTCAGATGTTGTCTGGAGGATCTTTTAGAGTTCCTCACCCAGTGTAAGGGTCATGGCGCAGAGGGTTAGCACCTTCAAATCTCACAAATCTCCCTTTATGCCTAATTCTTTATTGTTTATTGAGTTCTTTATTGTTGTTTCCAACAGAAAGATGTTTCCAGTGCCTTCCTATATCTTACCCAGCACTATTGCACTTTCTTTATGTAGAGGCAAGGATAACATCCCTTTTGGAATAATGTTTTCACATTAATAGTTATGGTTCCATTTGGGTCTTTTCAGCCATGCAGCGACTTAATTTTTATTCTTGAGTTTTTTCTGAATTGAAAAAGTGATTTCACCGTAAATATACTATAGTGTATTAGGCAATTGCATTTTACACTAATTCAATTGTAATCCGTTGACCTCAACAATAAGAACAGAAAAAATTGGGCTGTTTGAAATGTGGGCAGTTTGAATTGTGAAGAATCAGTCTATGTACCTTGTAGTTTTTCCTGGAAGCTAATTCTTCTTTTTGTGTTGCCTGAATAATGTATTTATCACTGGCAGGCACTCCGCAACAAAAGTCAGCACAGCATCTCTTACACATTGTCACGAAGCCACTCTGTCATTGTGGAGTACACAAATGACATCAGCACAGACATGTTTCAGGTAAGTGTCCACCAAAACATGTATCAAAACATCTTAA